TTTTCTATTTCTTCATGGTTCTCAGTAGGTTGTGCTTCTAGGAATTTGTCAGTTTCATCTAGGTTATCCAATTTGTTGGTATACYATCTTTTCATAATACTTGTTATCTGATAATCCTTTTTACATTTAGAATTGGTAATAATTCTCTCACTTTCATTTCTGATTTTAGTTATTTTGTCTTCCCTTTTTTAAATCTTAGTCAATCTAACTGAAGTTCTGTCAATTTCATTGATTTTTAATTTTATTTTTTGGTACTGGGGATTTAACATGGGGCGATTTACCACTGAGCCTCATCCCCAGCCCTTTCTATGTTTTACTTTGAAATAAGGTCTCAACTCTAGTTGCATAGGGTCTCCCTAAGTTGCTGAGGCTGGCCTTGAACTTGCAATTGTCCTGCCTCAGCCAGCTAAACTTCTGGGATTATGGGTGTGTGCCACCTTGCCTGGCTCTCAAAACTGTCTTCTAACTTCTCTGTGTACTCAGAGAAACTCACTCAAGGCCTACATGTTCTGACTGTAGCTCTGAACTTATCTTTCTTGCTCTCTGTTTCAGCCATCCAGRCCTCCTTGCTCTTCTGGAAACACACAAGCATGCTTCTTCCTTAGTGCATTGACACCAGGGATGATTCTTCATGCTCTTTGAATCTTTCCTCAGTGGTCACTATATCATAAAATTTTAAGAGTTCTTATTTTCTTGATGATTTAACCTCACCACAAACAGACTATGAACACCCCCACCCAGGGAACCATGTGCACCAGTGTGATAAGGCTGGTCCCTGCCACAAGTTCCTCAGCTAGTCTCCCTTAATCATGACCTGAAAACATTCAAATAAACCAGCAAAATCCCCTCATTCATTTTGCTGTGTACTTCACCCTGAATCCCAGGAGGGGCACTTACTCTGGGTTCTCGTTCTCACTTCCCACCTGCTCTCTGGGAGCTCCTCCCATGGTCTTCTGTTGGTGYGCCATGCCTGTCTTTCCTAGAATCTATGAATTACTCGATGACTCCTTCAATTTCATATGGCTCTCTGAGTAATTTACATAGTTGTGCTGGAATGATCCTTAAGGATTCCATTTACAAACCAGTCACCTCCTAAATGAGTTCCATACTGGTCATTCTAATAAAAGAGCCATCTTCTCTCTCGCCATAAACCCACACCCTGGATCATGTTCTCTGCTATATTTTTTCCTCTAGTTCTTATCAGCTTCTAATATAAAACTTGAATTTTTAAAGTATGTTTGGTAGGCAAAATAATAGCTCCCAAAGACGTCCACATCCTAATCCCTGGTAGTTATGAATATATTACCTCATATGACAAAAGGGAATTTGCAGATGTAGTAGTTATGGATATGGATATGGAGAAGTTTTCCTAGATTAGCTAGGTAATCATAAACGAATACACTAAGTTTGTAGTATAAAATGTAATCATAAAGTCTGTATAAAAGGAGGCAGTGGGGCTGGGGATGTGGCTCAGTGGTAGAATGCTCGCCTAGCATGCATGAGGCACTGGGTTCGATCCTCAGCACCACATAAATATAAAATAAAGATATTATGTCCACCTAAAACTTAAAAAATAAATTTAAAAAAGAGGAGGCAGGCAAGTCAAAGTTTCAAAAAAAAAAAAAAAAAAAAAAGAGGAAAAGTTGGAACTAGAGGTTCAAAGGGGAGAAAAGATTCTGTGCTGCTGGCTTTGAAGATGGAGGAAGGGATCTCCAGCCAAGGAATGTGGGCAGGCTCCAGAAGCCGGAAATGACAAGGAAAAGGGATTCTCCTCCAGAATCTCTGGTATCAATGCACTAAGGAAGCCTGTGGACACTTTTAAACTTCTGACCTCTGGGGCTAGCTGTAAGAGAATAAATTTGTGTGTGTGTGTGTGTGTGTGTGTGTGTGTGCTTAAGCTACTAAACTTGTGGTGATGTTTTGTTTTTTGTTTTTGTTTTTGTTTTTTAAAGAGAGAGAGAGAGAAGAGAATTTTTAACTTTTATTTTTCAGTTTTTGGCAGACACAACATCTTTGTTTGTATGTGGTGCTGAGGATCGAACCCGGGCCGCACGCATGCCAGGCGAGCGCGCTACTGCTTGAGCCACATCCCCAGCCCTGTGGTGATGTTTTTATATCAGCAAAAGGAACGAATACACTAAGTTTGTAGTATAAAGTCTTGTTTCTACCCAATAAAATATATATTCCACAAGGTTGGAAATTTTTGTCTATTTGTATTCCACCTGTGTTTCTCAGATACAAAAATAAGATGGGCCAAATATCTTACACTGCTCTCAGACCACACCYAGCAGAGGCTGCAGCTGAGTTACAGGGCCATTGTGTATGATTTTGATACTGGGGTTTGAACCTAGGGATGCTTTACAACTGAGCCACATCCCCTGCCCTTTTTATTTTAAGATAAGGTCTCCAAGTTGCTGAGGGTCTTGATAATAAGTTGTTAAGTTTGGTCTTGAACTTGTGATCCTCCTCCTCAACCTCCTGAATCACTGGGATTACATTTCAGAATCTATTGTGGGACTAAGGTGAGCAAACCTGTCCTGAGCCTCACTACCTCCTGTTCCTGTTGTCTCTCACCAAGAACCTCCTGATGCAAACAAACTGTAAGATGCTGCCCAGTGAACTTCCTCCTGGTTTTCATGCCCTTGTGAAATCGCCTCATGTTGGGAGTGTGTGGGACCAATGACTTGCTTTTAAGCAATAGAATTATGGCAAAAGTGTCATGATCATGTGAGGTTGTGACTTCTGTCTTGCCAGGTGATGCTTACCCCTCTCCCCACCCAGATCCTTGCATATGCTAGTTAAGCACTCTATCATGTTAAGCAACATCCCCAGCCCTTTTTTCTTTCTGTTTTTTTTTTTTTTTCTGTTTGTTTGTTTTGTTTTGTTTTGTTTTGAGACAGGATCTGGCTAAATTGCCCAGGCTGGCTTCAAACTTGCAATCCTCCTGCCTCAGCCTCCTAGGTAGCTGGGACTACTGACATGCATCACCACTCCTGGTAATTGATGTTGTTTTCTGCCTTCTCTGCTTGCAAGGTCTGCTGAAATGGAAAGGTCCACATGGCACTGAACTGAGTTCCGTGTCCAMATGGCAATGAACTGAGTTCCATGTCTGGTCACCAGCCAACAACTAAGTGAGGCTGTGAGCCTAACAATGCATAAGAACTGAATTCTACCAACAATCACCTGAGCTTAGAAGTGGATCCTCTTACATTTCATCCATTGGGTAAGACCCCAGCTGTGGCTGACACTCTGATTGAAGCCATGCAGGTGGGCAAAGGTGTGGTTAGGCTGCTCCTTCCGGTCCATCCTAGAACGCAGCAGGGATTGGAAGGGGCACTTAATGTTTCTTGGATCCATGTGAAGCTGGGCTTTGGGGCTGTGAAATAAAGCAGTSATGACTCATCTACTTGGCCACTGCTGGTCTTTCTCCTTCAACATTCCAGACAGTCCGCCTCACACATCCTGATGTAAATGCCATTGATTCCGATGTCAGTGCCAATGTCACCTCTTCCAGCAAGCACATTCCATCAGCTTATGTGTCATTTCACACTAGACAACCAACTGTAAGAATGGTGAGAAATGCAATAGATTCCATCTGGTATTGGTGTCTGGTAGGGAAAGGGAAATTGGGCAGAGCCACAGCAAGAGGTGACTTGGAATAGGGCAGGTGGACAGGTACAGGAATCATCATAACAGGGTGGTATTTGGGCTAGAGTTTCCCTAGAGTCCTGGTTCCCTGAGAGTCAACTTCAGTGGATTGTTTCCTTATCTGTAAAATGGGATTGATAGCTCTCAGTCCCAAAGGGCTCTTATGAAGTTCAATTGATTAATTCATGCAAATCTTTTAGAGCATATGAAAATTTAAAGCATATAACATTTAATTTTTTTATTTATTCTTTTTTAGTTATACGTGATAGAGAATGTATTTTGATATATTATACATACATGGGGTATGTATAATATATAAAGCTGAATATAATTTTTGTGATTGTACAAGATGTGGTGTTACACTGGTTGTGTATTCATATGTGAGCATAGAAAAGTTATGTCCAATTCACTCCACTGCCTTTCCTATTCCCATCCCTTCTCTTTCCTTCATTCTTCTTTGTCTAACCCAATGAACTTCTGCACTTCCTCTCCCTACCCTCCCTTGTTGTGGGTTAGCATCCACATGTCAGAGAGAACATTCAACCTTTGGTTTGGGGGGACTGGCTTATTTCACTTAGCATGATAGGCTCCAGTTCCATCTATTTACTGGCAAATGCCAAAATTTCATTCTTCTTTAGAGCTGAGTAATATTCCATTGTGTATACATACCACATTTTCTTTTCTTTTTTGACAAATTGGATCTCAAAACTTTTTTTTTTTTTAAAGAGAGAGTGAGAGACGAGAGAGAGGAGAGAGAGAGAGAGAGAATTTTTTTTTTTTTTTTTTTTAAAGAGAGAGTGAGAATTTTTTTTTTAATATTTATTTTTTAGTTCTCGGCGGACACAACATCTTTGTTGGTATGTGGTGCTGAGGATCGAACCCGGGCCGCACGCATGCCAGGCGAGCGCTCTACCGCTTGAGCCACATCCCCAGCCCCTAGAGAGAGAATTTTTAATATTTATTTTTTAGTTCTTGGCGGACACAACATCTTTGTTGGTATGTGGTGCTGAGGATCGAACCCGGGCCGCACGCATGCCAGGCGAGCGCGCTACCGCTGAGCCACATCTCCAGCCCTGGATCTCAAAACTTAAGACCTGAGGAAACACTTCTGAGTTTAAATCTTAGCTTAATGAAAGAATGCTAAACATTTTTTATAACACTGGGATTCATGGCAACCCTTTTGCTACCTGGGACTTGCAAAGACAGTGAATATAAATGAAACTGTGGGGACCCTGAGACTGGTGAGGCTACTGCTACCTCCACAACTCTGGATTCAACCTGGGGTATGTGACCTCACATAAAACATGATCTTAGAAAGGAGAAGGAAGAAGGAGGCAATAAAAGGCCAGGGAAAGAGCCAAGGCAGTTTATTTAAAATGACTATGAAACCTTTCTCTGCATAAGAAAGGTGTGGGCTTCTTGCTCAGCCAAGTCCCTCTGCATATTTTTTCTTCTGGGGCTCATGAACAGCTTCAGGGTTATAGACTGCAGGATTTGGTGCGTGGTTCATTTTCACTGCTGATGGCACGATGGGAGTCAAGTCCACATCAGGTATGACATGGGCAAGCCACCCACAAGTGCTGTCCCGCGAATGCCATGCGGCTGGGAGCCTGCTTCACTGTGTTGGGGGAAATCCCCCATAGAATCCCCCACTAAAGGCAAAATTCTGCATGTGCCTGCTCCCTCATTCCTCCAGGCCAGGGATCCAGGGCCCTCCACTCACTTTTTCTTCACTGGGACTACTGCAGTTTGCACCATGTTCCGGAATTGCCCAACTGAGGGATCCACATCATCTGAGTTGATGATCTTATCATCTCACTGAAAGTCACCCATGAGTTCTTCCTTTTCTGCTCTGGTCTCTGAATGTCCATATTTCCTTCCTTAATGTGAGGATAGAAATCCACTTCTTGTGGACAGTGTTGAGCTCTGTCAGGTTATCAAGCTCAGTTTCTTTCTCTGGAAGTCCCAATGGGTCCTGAGTTCATAATCTTCATTCATCTTTTCCTCTCCTTTCACAGCTGATGGCAATGTCTGAGGTTTCTTGTGCAGTGTGTGCCCTTGTGGAAGTGCCAAATGAGACCGTGGAATTTGTTGTGGCTTGTGAGTTACAATTGAGTGTGACCTAAGAAAATGCCATGTGTACTGTTTTTTATTTTTATTTTTTAATATATATATATTTTTAGTGGTAGTTGGACACAAAACCTTTATTTTACTTACTTATAAATAAATAAACCCAGGACCTTGCACTTGGGAGGAGAGAACTCTACTGCAGAGCCACAACCCCAGAGCCCCCCTACCCCTACCCCTCGGCATGTGTACTGTTAAGTGCTACATCCTGTGTGGCCAAACTTGCAAAGCTGATAAGACTCTCTTTTTTTTTTAAAGACAGAGAGTGAGAGAATTTTTTTTTTAATTTTTTTTTAAAGAGAGAGTGAGAGAGGAGAGAGAGAGAGAGAGAGAATTTTTAATATTTATTTTTTAGTTCTTGGCGGACACAACATCTTTGTTGGTATGTGGTGCTGAGGATCAAACCCCGGGCCGCACGCATGCCAGGCGAGCGCGCTACCGCTTGAGCCACATCCCCAGTCCCCTCTTCAGATTCTTATGGTAGACTGATGCAGCATGAACCTGAGAGCAAGACTGGTGGTCAATGGTAAAGTCACACAAATCAAGTTTTCTCCCAAATAAGTAAAATTTTTTCTCACCAATAATGAGTTTCTCAATTAATTTGTCTCCTTTGACTACATCCAGATGTAAAGCAGGTGGGGGTTTACCTGCCCAGGTTGGGCAACTGAACAGTGGGCGGCTGGAGCTGGAGTTTGGGGCTGCCGTATCTGTGTCTCCCCCTCCCATTTGGCAGGCCTGAAGCACACCAGGAAACTCCCACATTTTCTTTATCCATTCCTTTGTTGAGGGYACCTGGCTTGGTTCCATAGCTTGGCTATTGTGAATTGAGCTGCATATATGATTTATTCTGTCTTTCCTATTCCCATCTCCCTTCCCTTCCCTTCATCCCCTTTGTCTAATCCAATTCTATTTCCTCTGCCCCTTATTATGTGTTTTATTAAAGCAGAGCCATTATTATTCTAAGTACAGCAAAGAATCTCTTCTCTCCAACATTTATCCTGGTGCCCTGAAAATGGAGAACAGTTTTTTTGTTTTTAAACCTGGTGGAACAACCAGTATGAGGAAGTCCTAAAGTAACRCACACACATACACACAAACACACGTATGTCCATAAATGTGCACAAAAAACCATACATGCTTATACACACACATTCACACAAATCCACATACATACAGTTGCTTATTAATATTCATGCATATGCATGTACACAGACAAGCCCATTACATACACCCTTCAGATCTGCCAACTCAGCCTTGGGGTCTGATCTATTCTCACTCAATGTTCTTTAGGAAACTTAGGCACCTGAGGGAGAAGGACCAGAGAAATTTTGTCCCATGTGAAGTAGACTCACTTCCCATGCACTGTGGGACTTTCTGGGCCTTATGTATCCCTGCTCCTAGAACCCTCCTAGAGAAGCAGGAGGTCCATCAGATCAAGACTGTGGAGTTCAGAGGCAGCCATGGGACTTGGACAGCCTCTGAACTGGGGCACAGTCTTAGGGCCTGCAAGAGTCTCTAGCATTTCTCTTTACCAGCAGCTTCTCAGCCTGTGCTCCCTCCAGCGAGGTCCCTCCCAGGCTCTGCTACACCACAGGATGTTACCACATTAACCTCAACCCTTTGGGGTGAGGCACTGTTAGGACACCAGTATGTGGAAAGCCTGACCTCGTCATCACTTGACGTCTTCTCCAGTACACAATTCCCATGATGAGCAGAGGTATCATAGCAATCAAAGTTACYGTGACTACAGCTTTATATTTCTCACTGGTGTGTTCGTTGGGCTGAGAAAGTGGATCTGAAAAGAGAAGGTGAGCAACTCTTACCACCAGTTTTCAGCCCTGACTTGGCTGAAGGTTTCTGGAATGCCCCCTGCTTTCCCCAATAAACAAGTCCTGTACCTTCAACTCCTCCTTACCAAATCTCAGGGTGAGGGGCTCAGGCAGCCCCTCATGATGCACATGGCAGGTGTATCTCTGCTCCTCTCCAGCAGGCACCACCACAGCTGCCCATTTCTGGAAGTTTCCATCCCCTGCAGGCCTGGTCTCCACTACCTCCATGTCCTGACTCTGATCTTCCCCATCCMGCTGCCAGGTCAGGGAGATCTCAGCAGGGTAGAAGCCCATGGCCCAGCACCTCAAGGTGACTTCATTTTGGTCAGGGAAGGGATGGTAGGTCACACGTGTAGAGGGAGGCTCTGTGGATAAAGCAGGGAGGACCCATGCAAAGACTTATTGTAGTAGCTACTCTGATAACAAAGAAAATGCAACTCATGATGGTTTGGCTACCAACCAGGGCAAGGCAGGGGGTGTCAGCTAGGCAGGTGTGGACTAAGTACTATGCTAAACTGGGATCCAAGGAACTGTCCTAAGAGTTCAGTCCCAACATTCTTTTTTAGAGCAAGAGCCATGTCAAGACTCTCCATCTTCTCATCAAGCCACTGGTCAGTGTTTCCAGATAAATGTTGATAGGTGCTCAGAGCTGCCATATCTCTAGTGGAAAAGGGGCAGAAGTGTAACCCCTGTCCCCCCCCCAGCCTAGGAACATGACCAGAGGTCATGAGAGCAGTTTTGCCCCAGGGAGGACTTAGAAAAGGGGCAGACAGCATTTTCCAGGAGACTTGCTCAAATCCATAGCTCCTGCTATGTGGAAGCCCCCTTCAGTACAGTGGCCCTCCTCACCTACACAAGAGAGCCCATATCCCTATGCCCAGGTAGTCCTGGGGAGCTTTGCATCAACTCTGAAGAAAGAACCGAATGGGTGGGCTGAGGGAGGTCATTACCARTTCGGTTCAAGCTCTTCCCTCCAAGCTTCAAATATCTCCGCAGCCACAAGATGCATTCCTTTTCCAAATAGCTCTTGTCTTTTTCTACCAAATATCTATTGTCCTCCCACTTCTGCTTGGTGTGGCGAGCAACTGAAGAGACTGCAGTGTATTGAAGAGTGTCCAAATCCAAGATCAGGTAGTCACTGCCATCATAGCCATACTGCCAATGCCCCCAGACGTTGTTGTTTTCCTGCAGCTCGCAGCCATAGGTGAACTGAAGGGTGTGCAGGCCTACCCATCCCCCAGACAGGCATGTCAGTAAGGGCAGATGTACCCCATCATGGTCCCTGCTCCCTCCACAACTGATCCCTTGGCTTCTCCTTATGTGAAGTTCACACTTTGGACAACTTAGTTTGGTCCCTGATACTGGTCTCTTTTATTTGCCATTAGCTCTGCAGCAGTGAGCGGTCTATGCTGGGTTCCAGGATGTCTTGAAAAAGATATGGCATTGCCATGAATTTGTCAATTGGACAAATTATTCAACCTCCATAGCTCTCTATCTTTTGTACATGGAAAGGTTAGAGCATGACCACATAGATTTCCTTCTGTGTTAATTGTATCAGATTCCAATCATATCAGATTCCAATCATATCATTTCCAGCTTTCTGAAAACAGGATCACTGTACACAGCATTAATGTCAGAGGATACACCTCTGTGCTCAGTATTAATTCCTTGAGGTTCCAGAGAAGGCAAACTTAGCATTAACAAGCACCAACTTCTGCTGAAAACATAATGAATTTCAAAGTCAAATATAAATAACTCAGACTGCCCCAGCTTGGATTAATTGTGCCCTCCCTTGGGGTCCACAGTCCACAGGATCAAGCTTCTAAACCAACACTCACAAAGTATACCAAACTTTGTGCATTGTCTCTCCCCTTCCATGTCATGAGCCCTTTGCAGGTTGTGACTACACTGGTATCTGTCCCAGTGATCTGGCAAACCCTGTGGAACACATTCTCCTACCAGTATCAACTGGTAAAAAGCTTCAGTCTTCAGCTTTCATTATACCTCTCACTGATTTAAAGGCCCTTTACAAACTTATTTCAATAATCCCAAGCAGTCAGGAGACACTAGAGACCAGTAAGCTACATTCTGTTCCCTGAATGCACTCTGCCCAATCCCAGCCCACCCTTGGCTGTGCCCTAACTTCTGGCTGCATGAAATGTATTTATCTTCCTAGCCCAAACCATACACATTCCATAGGTTCTATCCAAAGTTCCATCTCATTCATGAAACTCTCCCTGACCACTGGATGTCTTGTCTGTCTACTTCATTAAACTATTTTTCTGCTTCTCATTTGGCATTTAAGGAGCTACTGGCTTTTGACATCTTTTGGTATGCCTTATAGTGTCAGTAACATGTTTCCAGCCCTATGGGTGCCTCCCCATGGTAATTGTAAGTGCTTTGAGGACAAACACTTGGTCATGTTTTCTGGTTGTCCCCCTCCAGCACTGAAAGATAAATGCTAGGTATATATCTGCAAGCCAGTGAGTCTGCTGAATACTGAACTAAGAATGTCCATAGACCTTGTCCCCAGGGACCAAACTGGGCTAGCTTTTATTCTCAAGTGAGAACTTGTCAAAATACTTGCTGAGGGCCTCCRGCCTGTGGAGGTGGGGTGAGGCTGCTTGCCCTGCTTTCTCCTGGGCACATACCTGGGAGCTCTTTGCTCTGACTCCCATTCATGCTGCTGTTGTAGTACTGTTGCACATTTCTCAGACTTAACTGGAAAATCTTCATCCGAGTCTTGAAGATCTTAGTCTCATCATCAAAGTATTCTGGCTTTTCCTTCAACCAGTCAACACAAGGATCTGCCTTCATCCCCTCGCTGTCAAAGTGAATAAAGAGTTGGTTGTCCACGAAGCCAGAGGCAGTAAACTTGGGGACGCCTGGGCGTGATTCAGACACAGCTGAGTAGAAATACTCCAGAGAGTGCGTTCCTGAGGCAGAGATCACGGATTCAGGTAAGCTTTGGTATTGGTTGAGGATCTAGCTCACAGTATGTGAGGGATGAGTGTGTGTGTGTGTGTGTGTGTGTGTGTGTGTGTGTGTGTGTGTGTAATAGAAGAGACAGGACATATTGCATAAAACAATGGAAATAATGGTGCAGAAGAACCCACCAGCACAAGTGCATTCAAATTCCACATTCTATACTCAGAGAGAATTCAAAGAATTAACAAAGAAATGTTAAGTGCAAGATCTCAATAAAAAGTTTTTATGAAGAAATTCTTGATCAGGGCTTGGGAAGAAGGATCTGGAGTACCGGGAGGTTTAAAAATAGCCCCAAGGGGGCTGGGGATGTGGCTCAAGCGGTAGCGTGCTCGCCTGGCATGCGTGCGGCCCGGGTTCGATCCTCAGCACCACATACCAACAAAGATGTTGTGTCCGCCGAGAACTAAGAAAATAAATATTAAAAAAAAAAAAAAGTTAAAAAAAAAAAAAAATAGCCCCAAGGGCGGGGAATGACAAAGCCTGAAATAGACTTCTCCTCCAGGTCCCTGTTCTAGTGCCACAACAGTTCAACCGCAGAGGCACAGGCCCCTCCCCCCTCTTCCGGTTTAGGCACCAGTGCTGGTCTTGCAAGTGTTTCCCTAGACCATTTTTCCCTCACTGTAGGCCACTTTCTTTCTTATAGTTCAGCTTATTTATAGAAAAAGTGGACAACAGACAGTCTTTAGCCTTACTTCTCCCAGCTCCTGGGTCTGGCTTCTGTTCCCCAAACTTTGGATCCTTTATTGTCCCTCATCTGGAATCTCTACTGGCTACCTTTGGTCTTGCCCTCTTCAGGTTTTTGCCGAAATGTCACTTCCTCTGGGAGAATCCACCTCACTCCCCACCTCTCACTGCTGGCAAGGTGAGCTTTTTCTGCTACTTTGCCTCCAGGATCAAGGGACATCACATGATTATGGACTCACTTTCAGCTTACCAACAAATCCCACAGAAATAGCAACTTTTCTTTCTTGTTACTCATTGTATTCTTAGTTCCTATAACTACTGTATTAGTTAGCACCAGAGAAAGAAAACTAGAGGGAAAAAAAAAAAAGTTAGGATGAAGGAACTGCCTCATGCAGTTCTAAGAACAAGTGAGGATTGTTTCATGCAGTGGAGGTGGGGGAAAATTCAAAATCTGCAGGGGAGACAGGCTGGTGACAAAAATCTGATGTTGCAGCTCAAGTCTGAAGTCACTGTGGAGGCAAAATTTCCTCTTCCCCAGGGGCCTTTTTCTCTTAAAGTCTTCAACTGACTGGGTAAGGCCCAACCACAATTATGGAAAGCAATCTGTTTTACTCAAAATCCACTGACTTAAATATTAAATATAAAACTCATCCAAATACCCTTACAGAAACATCTGGAATAATGGTTGACTAAAAATCTGCATTGTCCCAGGCTTGGGACAATAGCTTCTCATTAGTTTGTTTAAGGGAGAATGGCAAAGTAGTAGCTAAGGGGAAAAAAACTTTTATATAAATTTAGTGATAGAATTTTCCTGGATAAGACACAATCAAGTGAGTACATTAATGATGCATTTCCACGTGAATATATTGT